GCAGGGTCTCCGCCGCTCTTCGATCGAAGCCGAGCTTGAGCTCAGCTGGCTGGACGCACTTGCTATGCAAATGCGATTCAAACTTCGGCTAGGTTTGTCGAAACGTATCCAGCAGATACTTCGCACTGGGCAGCAGAGCAACTGTCGTCATATTGGCAGCGAGCGTCACAAGTTATACGACAATTTGTAGTTGTTGTTGCTGTTGTTGCTGTTGCTGCTGTTGTTATTGCTTTCCGGCATTGCAAGTCGCGCACGGGCAATGACAAGCACATAGACAGGCACAGCCACAGCCACAGCTACAGATACAGATACAGATACATTCGGCGCGGTAGCTGAAAGCGCATTTTATAAATAGTTGCTGTGGCTTTTAAAACGTATGAGTATCAGCGGCAGCAACAGCAGCAACAACAACAACAACAACTAAGTTGTTTGTTGGCTTTTTGATTTTGTCATTGCAAAAACAAACAATAAATAAAATACAAAGCTTTGCGAGTTTTATGATAGTCGCAGACACAGATACACAAACAGACACAGATACAGATACGGATACGGATACATATATAGGTAATACTAATGCACATTTATACTAATAGAAATACAATTACGAATTTGACAGTATTTGCAGCACAACGGGATTTTCAGAGCGAGCGAGAGAGAGAGAGCGAGGGAGAGTGAGTGAGAGTGTAAGCTAGCTGCTAGAGGTGTGAGCGAGAGAGACATAGAGTGAGAGAAAGAGAGATTGCGACGGCGATCGTTTTCAATTTTCGATGTTGTTGTTAGTCAACGTCGCCACCTTCGTCAGCAGCGACGCCGACGCCGACGTCGACGTCGACGCTGGCAACGGCATTGACCGCTAGAATGCAATCACCTATTCCAAGGCCAAGTGGCCAGCGGTTTTTGCCGTAGGTGTCTGTGTCTCTGCTGCTGCTGTTGCTGTGTGTATGTGTGTGTGTGTGTGTGTGTGTGTGTGTGTGAGCATATAAACACGTAGTGCTAGCTATAGATATGTATATTTGTGCCTTATTAGCGAGCCGCAGCAACTGAATCAAAATAATGAATACATCAGAGTGCGAGAGAGAGAGAGAGAGAGATAGAGCGAGAGCGAGAGAGAGATATGGAATAGCAAATCAAATGCTGCAACAAAATAGTCAACAAATTGCGCATTGAATAGATGTGGGTGGTGCGCGGTGGTTCAGTGGCTCGTTGGCTCGTTGGCTCGTTGGCTCGCTTCCCAGCTGTGGGTCAAAGGCTAACAAATTGCTGAACCGCTCGCAGTCTGAGGCCTTCTCTTCCGCTCTTCAACATGACTAATGGACGGGCACAGCGCCGTTCCAGGAACTCTTTCGCTGCAAAATAATGCAATAAGGCGATGACGCACTCTGATAAGCTGATTACTTGAAGACATTTCAGGGCATTTCGTTCGATTGCGTTTGTCTTTTTCCGCTGCCAAAGTCCCGTTGCCTGTGCCAACTAGCCGAATTGTGATTTATGCTCGCCATTAATTGGCCAAAAAAGCTTCTGTCAGTGCGTAAAGGTCCGGCACTGAAATAAATTCAAATACGGCGCATGCGGTAAACCGGAATCGGAACAGCGCGTCATCAATTTTTTGTTTGCTTTTCAATTTGTTTGTTGTTGTTTTATCTCTCTCTGTCTCTCTCTCTCTCTCGCTGTTCGCTTGCCTCTTTCCGTTCGGCTTTGTATTTTGCAATATTTTCACATTGATTTATGCAATTGCACTGTATTTCAGCAGATTGTCTGGCAGCGCGAATGTAATTTATGAATTGAATAAAGCTAAATTGCATCGTTAGCAGAAATAAATCCAAAATGTGCCGCGACAGCGCAATGCTCTCTGCATTAATCCTAGAAATTTGAGCAATGGATTTGGGCACCATTAAAAATCCATTGCTCATACGCCCTGTTGTACATTTTTTGTGGTTCGACTCGATGGCCCTTTACAGTTCGTACCACTTTCTCGATGATTGGCAAAGGCGAACGGCAAACGAATGCAAATAATTGCCGTCTAGACATAATTGAAGTGCCATTATGTTAATGAAACACGAGTGTTTCGCTTGTCTCGCCTGGGTTTTGCAACAATGCTCAGAAATGAACACCGAGAGATTTGGGTTGCCACAAAACTGGCTTCAGGCTATATTTACATGTAAGCATGCGGACGGCGCGGCGTGCTTGTACCTGTCAAGGTGTTCGAGCCCACACGGAAATGCCAATCGCACGAGGCTGCGTCAGAGGCGAAATTCATATGATAAACGCAATACTCACACGGCTGTAATTAAACGCAATATGTCAACTCGACTCGACTCGACTCACCTGCAAAGAAAAACATGAAAGGGAGACTTTAGATAAATGGCAGCACTTATATCGAGCAATTAGCAATTCAATGGCAATCAATGCTGCATGCGTAATGAATAAATTACGCATACGCCGCATTGCACGCGCACAGACAACTCGAGAAATCTCTTCTTTAATTTAGTTGCGGCCAAAGTTTGCGGATTTCGCATTGCATTGACAGCTGTCAATTTCGGGCCCGCAAGCGGCAAAGACTTCCACAGAAAATGGCAACTTGGAAGCTAACCTTGAAGCATTATCGATTGCTTTTTACCAAAGAAAAGTTCAGCTGTGCGTGCGTGTCTGTGTGTGTGTGTGTGAGTGTTTGATTGAGAGCCGAGAACAAGAGCAAAAACCACACGGAAAAACCATAAAGCCCAACTTAAATCCAAGCCCCACACGTTTGGCAACCATAATTAAGACCAGGCTCCATTAATGAACGCGCAGCACAGTGGGAGCAGCGGGAGAGGGGCGAGCGTAAGGGCGAGGGCTGCTCTGGCAGTTGAGGGCATGCGCAGCTCGGGCAGAGAGCGAAAATTGCGCGGGAAAACCGAGAAGCGAAACAAACAGTTGCAGTTGTGCTGGTTGTTGCATGCGACCCACTGAACCACTAAATGCGGCTGACGGCGCTGCAAAGCCAATGGCAGAGGCAACGGCAGCGGCAGCGGCAGAGGCAGATGGCTAAGGGTTTGCCATTTTTGCTTGGGCAAATTCGCCGCAACCCTTAAAAGTGTTGCCATATCGATTTTCGCTGGTGACGTGTGGTATGTGGGCGATGGCAACGCCAACAGCGAACAGCGAACAGCAATGGCAGCGCCGACTGCGACGGCGACGCCAGCGCTGACTTTGCTGCCTGACCTTGAATACATCTGCAGAACTTTTCTCTATGCATTGCCAACAAATGGCTGTGTGTGAGTGTGTGCTTCGTGTATGTGTGCGTGTGCGTGTGTGTGTGTGTTTTACTTTGCTGCTTTTGCCTTTGGTCGCGATTTTAATCGTTCGCTTTGTTTTATGCAAAACTTTGTTCCGGCCAAACCCTTGGCAAGAGCTCGCACCAAAGTGTATATATTTACACACGCATATACATACATATGTATATAGTATATGTATCTATGTACAACATTTATTTTAATTTGTTGCCGCTGACGTCATGTGCAGCAGTCGCACTATTGTTGTTGCTGCTGCTGCTGCTGCTTTGACATGACTGCTGACATTTCATAATTTCCTCCGTTTCCTCTGGTCACAAACGAGAAAACAAAAATTAAATGTTGAATTTTCTTGTCATGTTCTCATTTTCACACTACGCTTAGGTGGAAAATTAATTGGTTTCGGCATAGACAAAAGCATAGAACATTTGTTTTGTTCCATATTATTATTATTATTTTTTCGTTTTGCCTTAACTACACGTAACGAAATTAATTTTCAAATCTCCCATTCGTTGCGCATGAAAAGCAATTTGATATGCCCTGATTTATATGCATGTATGTATATAAATTTGATTGAAATTTAATTTGCAAATTTATGGAATTATGAAAAACGAAATGCTAAACACTTAATTGAAACCATAATTGGCCAAGATACAGACATACAGAGATCTGTTGACTGCAAAGCTGAATAATTGATGCATACGTGTGTCTATCTCTCTCTGTCTCCCTCTCTCTCTCTCATTGGTTTTCATATCTGTCTGCTAGAGCTGCCTTTGGCTCATATTGAGTTTTGCAGCTGCTGTAAATGTGCATTAATTCAATTTTATGGAGTGAAGCCGTTTACGACCAAGATGGACATCTGGGGCCCCGGCACCTGCTCTGCATTCGGAACCCTGCACGGCACGCCCGCGCTGCGCTGCCTTGACTTTGCCGACATTTGAATGTTTAATGCATTTTTGCTGCTTCCCGCCCACAGCGCCGTCCGCCCCCAGCCGTCAGCGAGTGTCGCTCGATTGTCAACATTTGTTGGGCTGCTCCAGCAAACTGTGAAGACTGCCAACAGTCGCGGCCCCGGCCGCCGCAGCTGCTGGCCTTTAAGCGAATGCCCCTTCGCTCGACTGCTGCTCAGAGGCGTGCCGATGCGCTTTAATTAAGCCGCAACGCCCACGCCGTCAGCCACCCAACCAAAGCAGCCCAACCCCTCAGCTCAGCGCACAGAATGCAAATGTCAACGAGTCGCAGTCGCCAACGCAGTCGACGTCGCAGTCACGGCCTACGCTGCGCTTGTTGCGCATTTGGAAGCAAACAAAAATGCAAAAAGAGAAAACAAAATACAAGAGAAAAAGTTTTCCATGACACGTGTCGCGCTGCTGTCCGCTCGCTTCTGGCCACTTCATTTGTTTATCTCTGCCTGACGAAAGCGAGCCATTTGTTTGCCAAACCCAATTGCAATTGAGTGATGTAACAGTCCGCCCCTTCCCCTTCTCTCTCTCTCTCTCTCACATTCTGCATTTGTGTGATATCTATTTCATTGCTTTAAAGCCTCTGCTTGCCCATCGCCTCGCATATCGCGCATACGACCCGTGCGCCAGCTTCAGTTCTGTCTCAATTTGACATAAAATATATATCGTCGTTTATAATTAAGAGACAAGTTGATGCCGCTTCCGAAAGCCGAAAGCCAAAAGCAAAAGCTGCTAATGAAATCACCTGGTTGCTGCTGCTGCTGTTGCTGCTGCTGTTGCTTGTTTGGCTTTTAATTATGGCGCGGTGCGCCGACGCCAACAATAAATTTTGATGTGCATAAAAGCTACTTATAAATAATACATATACACACTCACACACACACACACACACACACACACATGTGTGTATATGTGCAATTAAATGTTTGCTTTGCATATTCATGGCATTCGCATTAGCATTAGTATTAATTAATTTTGCGCAATACGAAAATTAATTAGCCATGAAAAGTGAATCGAGCGCAAAACATTTTCAAGTTGCGCCGCTGCGACGCATTGCAAATTGTTCACTCTGTTCACAATTAAGCGGCAAATACCTACAAACACACACACACACACACGCACACATAGACATTGCATCTTTTTTTTTTTTGATTTGCCCGCGAAGATATATGGAAATTTAAGTATGTGCTAAAGGCAAACATATGTTGCCATTAGCATTGATTTATCAACAAGCGATTGTTTATGAAAAAACAAACTGAGAAAAAGAAATAGAAAAAGCAAAAGGAAAAAACATTTTGCTTGGGTGACATTTCAGCTTGAAGCTTGTTGAGAAACATGTACAAAAATATCTATGAGCATGGCATTTGTAGAATATATATTTTAATAAAGCTGATTTATGGCAGAGCTTAGGAATATTATTGTTTCCCAAATATACATATGTATGTATATGTTACTTTCTCTGTGAGCCAGTTGAAGTTGCAGCGAACCGGTTCGATGCCAGCAAAAAGATTCCATAACAATGCAAAGCCAAATTGAAGCGCTGAAATTTTCCCTTGACGACGTCAGCGATGCCGGCGTCGCTGTCAGCGTCGCAGCTGGCGGCAACAAATTGCACACATTTTTGCATCTGTGTGCGAACACGTGCCGTAATTCCCTTCACGCCACACGGCGCCCCTGCGCTGCGGCAACGTGTGAAAAATGCGGCGAGCTGAACGGAAGTGAGCTTTTGCGCATGGCCGCAACGTCAGGCTGCTCGAAGGGAATGCGAGCCAGAGCAGAGCGTGTGCGAGAGAGCGGCCAGAGAGAGAGAGAGAGAGAGCGAGTGGGAGAGAGAGAGAGAGAGCTGTGTGCATGTGCAAGTGCGAGCGAGTCGGTATGAGGGAAATGCATTTGATTGCGCAACATTCGGTTTGCCGGCCGGCCGGCGCAACTAGAGGCTGCAACAGCGTGTTGCCGAGCATATGCATGCATGTGTGTGCGTGTGTGTGTTCGTGTATGTGTGTGCTGGGAGGGGGGAGGGGGGAGGGGGGCATAACCTACAAAAACTGTGACACAGTTGCATTGGCAGCGCGCCCGCCACACACTGGCGAAAAAGTACAGCCACGACAACAGTTGCACTGGCCGCCATTTTGTTTGTGCAAAAGTGAAACTGGGCCAATTCGCCGGGTACAGTTGTGTGTTGTTGTGCTGTGCCATCGCATCACCCAATGCCCTCCCTCAATCATCTGTCTCTCTATCTCTCTCACTCTCTGCATATCTCTCCACACATAGATCTAATTGAGGCCTCATCATCATCTTGGCAGCTTCTAAAGTTTTCGTCTGCTCGCAAAACTTTGCAAAGTTTTCACTTCAATGCAAATGAAATCGAAATGTGGCGCTGACAAATTTGCCGCACTTGCCACATTTGCAACTTTGCAGCGCTTGTTTTTGGCATTTCATTTGGCTTTTCTTTTTTTGGCCAAAGTATGTCAGAGCCGGCTCGTGGCATAGTTGGCAACAGCGGCAAACATTTGACCAAAAAAAAAAACATGAAAAGCGAAAAGTCTTGCTGAAATTTCGCAAACATTTTCAATTTACCGCAAAACGACATTGGACTCGCCTGTGGCAGCCGCCGCAAGCGCATGCAAATTCGTTGCAATCTGAGTGACATTTGTAATTTGCATTTGCATTTGCCACAGACAACGCCAAATGCCCAAAAAAAAAAAAAAAGAAAACAGAGAGAGAATTACGTTAAAGATTCAGATAAGTAAAGCTGGCCCGGCCAGGGGCTCGGCCAAGTGTGTCCAATTGGGCCGACTGCCAAAGGCAAACATAGTCGGGCAGCAGCGTTGCCAGACCACGCAACAAGCAATATTTATCGATAGGTTTGTCGAGCTACGATTATTTATGATTAGCTCAATTAAATCGATAACAATTAAAGCTATAAAAATGAATTTGAATGAAATTGAATCTATGTTTAAGCTATGCACATATCGATAGGCTGTGTATATCGATAAATTACTAAATCATGCTGAGCCCATTAGCAAACCAATTCAATGCAATCAAACAGATCTAAGGCATTAGCCGACCAAACCGCACTGAGCCAGAAATGGCAATAAAATTAGAAATACTACAAATAAGACGAAGCAGAGGAGAACGGGGGGAAAAGCACACACACATATATACATATATAAAACATTACCGCAAATTGTGAACGAAAAACGAGGCCAAATGATGCGGCATTTGGCTCAAGTGTCCGCCGGTCCGGTTCGCTCGAGTTTGGTCGCGTCGCCTCACAGCATTTTTGTCACCTTGAACATGAAAAAGCGCGCTGCTCGCGTTTGCACTTGGCACAGATTTTCTTTCTTTCTTTCTATCTTTTTTTCTATTTCGTTTTGTTTTATGTCTCTAGCAAAGCATTTACCAATATAACAAGATAAAGCATTGCTGAATGAATGATTCAGCTGTAGTTGTTGCTGTTGTTGTTGTTGTTGCCCACAAATGGAAATTGTAATTTAGAAATTATATTTACTGTTATGCTGGCAAAACAGACTACAATTCAAATATTTATATATGCTATGGAAAAATATATATGTATGTGTATATATTTATATATACAGATATATTGTTGTTGTTGTTGCTGCTGCTGCTCGACTGTTATGGCAAATTATTTTTATTGCATTTTTGCTTTACGACTTGTTCATATTCATTGCATTTGCAGTGAATGTGGTTGTTGTTGTTGTTGTTCTTGTTGTTGTTGCTGCACATTTCAGTCACATTTTTCTGCCTTTTGCAATTATGATAAATTTATGAGTTCGTTTCTCCCAAACACCCACACACACACACTCACACACACACATGCACGACTACTGCGCTTCACTGACTTTTGTTTGCTTATTGTTGTTGCTGTTGTTGCTGCTTTTGTTGCTGCTGCCACTCCTGCTGCCAGTGACGCAGACGAATTGTTGCGCACTGCTGCTGCAAGTAGCAAGTTTTTCTTTGCTCCGGCAATGCGTTTCCGCCGCTACTCGAGCTGTTGCACTTTTCAGTTTCTTTTTTTCATGCATTTGACAGCTTTACGCTCAATTTTGAAAACACACACATGAATTGGGAGCTAAGCAAACACACACACACATACACAGGCAGGCATCTATGTGTGTGTGTGTGTGTGCTGCTCTGCCTCGTTTACCTTTGGTCAGCCAGCAACGAGCTTATCCAATGGCAGCTCCCCCGGGCCAGACCTGTTATAACTGAGGAATTGAATTCTTTGGAATTGTCCATTTAGCGATTGTTTCGCAATGCGCCGTGTGGGCAGACGGCCGGGCACGGTGCGCCGCTCAGCTGTTGCGCAGTCATTACTCATACGCCCCGTGTTGCCCAACCAAGCAACGACGAGGGCGACGCTGACAGCGACTCTTGTGGCCAAATCATTTGCCGATTCGCTAATGACTTACAAATGATAAACGCAGCCGTGAGAAGTTGCCGCTGCTCTGCTAGCTGAATTGAGCTTTTTAGCCGCACAATTAAGTTTATAATAATGCCATAATAATGGCCAAGCTCCAATAACTCAATAAAGTCAACAGCGAATGACTGATAGATAAATTTAAATTGCTTCCTAATCAGAATTCAAGGTTAAATTGCCATATGAGTGAAATTAATACGACGTTGGCTTATGAATCAAGTGCCAAAGGCATTGCCGAAGCCGTTTGCCAATCTCTGCTTCCCTCTCTATGTGTGTGTGTGTGTGTGTGTGTTTGCCAAGTGAATGTTGTTTCAAGGTTGCTGCACACACACACATGCACACACACACACATGCACAGCCACTTGCTGCCACTTGAATTGTACAATTTTTAATTAAATTTTTGCTATATTTCTGTTCATTCCGGTTAAAAATAAATGCACATAGTAAAGCCAAAAATTGAGGTAAATGCTGCAAAATCTATTCAGCAGCAGAGAGAGAGAGAGAGACAGAGAGAGTGAGTGAGAGGGCGATATGTGACAATGCCAGTGCACAGCGAAAAATCATAAATATAAATTAAAGCTTATTTAGAAATAACAAAAAAACAAAAATAAACAAAATTTTTCAAATAGACGAGCAGTCTATGTGCATGTGAATAGTGTGCAAGACACACAAATACCCTGTACAAATGTGAATCGAAATAGTTTCAGCAGCAGCACTTGAATTCGAGTTCAATTAGTTTTTGCACTGGGCCAACATCAATTAGGCACATTATAATGGCCAACAATTGAATCGGATTGTGTGGGAAACTAGTGAAATCAATCACATTGAGCGATTGCTGCCACCGAGTCGAGCACACTTCACGTCTGTCAGAAGCAATGCACAAATGGTGCGCTGTCGAAAAAGGCAAATGCAGGCTAAGCTGCCAGCACACGCGCACACACACACACACACACGCAGGCATACATACATAGATATTGCTAATGCGACACGTGTGCCGCGCCATGTTGGCTGCCAGCGTCGAGTGCATTTATCTGCTGTTGTTGTTGCTGTTTGTTGTTGCTTTGAAATTGTCAGCAGTGCAAAAGCTAAACTGCAATAGCGCTGCCCATGCCGCTCTATTCGTCTGCCATTAGGCTAAGCCCCAGCTCGGCCAGGCCAAACGCTCAACACCTCTCACTCTACCTCTCCCTCTGCTCAACATCTGCCCCCCCTCTTCGCGGCACTGCAGCAATGTCACCGCATTGCACACGCCGCGCTGTCTGCCTGGTTTTGCACTATAATTTGCGCTTGCTTTTGTTAGCATTAGCCGCCGCTGCCGCTGCTGCTGCTGCCGCTGTCGTTGCTGCTGCCGCTGCTGTTGATGTTATAAAACAAATTAGAGAGAAAACAAAAACAAAAGCAAAAGCAAAAACTATAAACACAAACAAAGCAACGACAGCAAAAATGAGAGAGCCACAAAAACGTAAAACAAATTTCGCATAGCTTATACATAGAACATGCAATTAGCCGGGTCTATACCGCACAAATACCAGCAAAAACTTGGCACACACACACACTCACTAACACACAAAGGCAGCGAGCCAATTCTAATGCATTGGCGGCAGGAAATTTGCAACAAAGTTTTCACAGCTTTCGAAATTTTTGGAAGGAAATTTGTCAATTGAAGCATTTTGCGAGAGCTGAACTAATTGATATTCCGCTTTGAGAATGTCAAAGCGCCAAACAGTTTGGCAAGTCTTGCGGCAGACACTTGACTGCCTCGCATTCGACTGCAATGCCCGGCTTGAGCGCTCGTGCAGGGCAATTTACGACTGTGACTGCCTGGCCTGGCTGTTGCCTTGTAATCGCAGCCTTGATTAAAAGGCAAAAGTCCGTGAGTGCGGCTGTGGCTACAGTTGTCACTGTTGCTGCTGCTGCTGCTGTTGTTAAATGCACATAAATCTGCATTTAAAATCATTTTTATTTTATTTTTTTTTGTTTTTACCACAAGTGCACAGCGAACAACAGCCACCGTGGCGTATGAGTAATTTACAAACGTTCGCCGCTCGGTTGAGTAATGAAGGTTAATCATGCGCCATGTTGTGCCAAACACTTTGTGGCTGCTCAACTGCAGGCAGACAAAGCGTTCAACACGCACACACACACACACACATTGAGTGTGGCATATGGTGCGTATGAGTAATGCGCGTTACGTATACGCCACGTGGCCATGGCTGTCAAGCGATTGCAGCGCTTCCCTTTTGCCCGACAGCGGCAATAATTGCGCACAATTACCCATTAATTGCATTCATTGCAGTTTACACAAAAAAAACCAACAACAACAACAACAACAAATAGGCAAAAAAAAACTAACTCTGACACTCAATGCCAGGCACTGAGATCATTTTGCGTAGCCACAGCCACAGCTATCCATCTAACCACTTATCTATTCACAGAGAGAGAGAGAGATAGAGAGAGAGATAGAGAGAGTGAGAGAGATAGAGATAGATAGATATCTGTGTGGCAGCTTGTCTGTTTTGTGTTTGCTTCTGCCTGCCCGTTCGAGATTATGCGGAAATCTAGCAAATGTCTTTCAAATAGGCCGCCAAGCAATTGGGCGCAAATCAATTTAGTTGCCCCGATGGGCGTGGCCTGACACACAACCACTTGACGACCACTGACAACCGGAAACACGACAATTTCGGGCATTCGCAGCTACGTTTTGAATGCTTGAAGCTGCTGCAACAGGTAATCAGAGTGAAAGTCGCCGAGCGCCAAAGGGAAAGGAGAGCAAAGCCAAAGCTAATAATAATAACAAGAATAGTAATAATAATGATAATGACACCGGCTGCAACTTGTTGCCAGCAAGCAAACAAATTTGAGTGCAGCTATTAACGTTTTTCGCTCAGCTAAAATAAGATATGACTGCATGTATAGCACTTGACGCAAATAATTACAAATCAGTTAGTATCGGTGAATCATTAATGCCAGCCCTTGGCCACCACGCGCCTCGCCCCCAGGCCCTTAACACTGCCCAAGCGGATCCAATGTAAATAAAATCTAATCACATATTCAAGGTTAGCGAATGCTCGACAAAATGTTGCCGCTGCTCAATTTTCGATATGTATACCAAACGTGAGTGTGTGTGTTGTGTGTGTGTGTGTGTTGTGTGTGTGTGTGTGTTGTGTTTGTTGAGAGCCCTTAAAGGCAACAAACACACACACAAGTCGAAAGACGAGCTGACAAAGCATACAAAAAATGAGATTTATATATATATATGTATATACGTATTTTTATATACATGTATATAGAATATATATATATCTGACTAGTTGACCAAACCAATTTCGAAACTCAAACCTGAAGTGGAGTGCTGCTGGTACCGGCTCAAAGTTGCGTAAGCCTCTTAAATGTTCTTTCTGTGGCACATTTTCGACTCGTAAAGCATAATTCATAAAGTTGTTAACAATATTTTAACTATAACTTTAACAGAAGACAGAGATAGAGTGAGAGAGAGAGAGGTAGAGGCAGAGGGTAGCAGTCTGAACTTTTGCTCATTGATTTTTGTCAACACAGTGGGTGTGCGTGTCTACACATACATATACACATATACACACACATATATGTATGCCCCTATATGTATGTGTGTGTGCATGCCTCATGGCCGTACAGTTAACGAGCTGCTGACGCTGCCCTTTGATTGATGTGCTCTTATTATGGGCTCGTTTTCAGTATTTATTCAATTTCCTGACTTTTCGCTGTCGCCCGTCTCGTGTAATGAATTGAGATGCGCATAAAGCATACGCCGCGTGTTTCGTATGCCCTGTCACTTTTGCTGAGGCTTGCCAAAAATTAAATAAATAAAACAAACAAAGTGAAGAGAAATGATGCAGCATTGCATTTACATAAGTATAATTATAGCAATTAAAATCGGCATACAAAGTTGCAATTAAATTGCAAGAAATTTTTGTGGCGTTGCGCTCTGTTTGGCCAAGAGGCCAGCCGCATTCCTTTGATCTGATCTGATCGGAGTGGACTGAGTGAGTGACCTACCTTCTTCTTGCGCTCCTCCTTGAAGTCGATGACAATGCCCTCGTCCGATGTGGACACCGAGGTTGTGCGTATGCGTGCATTGGCCGATGCATTGGCCGCATCATGCGGCGACATGATGATGTGACCGTGCAGCGCATTTCCATCATCGCTCAGCGGCGGCGAGGCCGAGCCGGAGCTCCAAGAGGCTGACGAGCTGCTGCCCGGACTGGAGCCCAGCCATTTGTCTGTAACTGATCGGGGGAGAAGAAAAACAACAAAATTGAAATGTAACGAATGCTGTGAGCAGCTGAGGAGCTGGACAGCTCTCTGCCACCTACCGGTATTCGGCGAGTTGTGTAGATTCATCAAAATCAATGCCGCATTGCATTCGCTCATCTCGTCGACTTTGCATTGATCGCTGCTGCAATCGTAAGTGTCGCTGGGCGGACGCTTCCGTGAGCTGTAAGATGAGAGCAAGGAGAGAGATGAGTTTAGTTAAGAGTTTACAAAAAGAATATCTTTAAAATTAGTTACTACTTAAATTTTAAATATATAATATTTAATAATAATATTTATTTAAATATATGAAAGATTTTTTAATTCTATTTATGTTTCAATTTAATTTAGATATCATATGATATGATTGAGTTTAATTCGGATTTTGGTATTCGTATATATGTACGTATTTTTTTTTAATGAACAAATAATTTACATTGTAAAAAGTCTTAAAAATCGATTTTCTCTTCTTTTACTATACACTTTATGAGCCCAGTTCCATTAGTCAAAAGGTCTTCAAAGTTGTTCAAATCTGCTATTTATAAAATTCTAATTCTAACAGCCAATCAAACTCAGTCCAAGACCAAGAAAACCCTCAGTGTCTACTCTGAAACTGAATTGAAGCCAAATTAATTGACGGCTTGACAACATTTGGCAACTTAATTGCAGTCGAGACTCGCGCCAGCTGAGCGTTTAGAACAATTATAAATATTTGAAATTTGTGCCATGATACAAGAATTAACTAATTTCAATTGATTAAACCAATTTCGCAGTAATTTGACGGCTGATTCTCTATGAGATTAAACAAAATAACAAATAAAAAATATAAAAAAAAGCTTCATTTATGTGTTGGCAATGCAAAGAATTTAGAAGGTCAGCATTGGCCCAGTTGTTCTGAGCGGCGAGGCTCGGCTTTAATTAGACGCCCTCGCAAAAGCCTAAACTCGAGGCACATCAAAAGCGCTTGCCGCACATTCATGTTGTTGCTGTTGTTGTTGTTGTTGTTGAGGCTGTTGTTGTCAATGTAATTTGCAACAACAATGTGACGAGGTTTTTTTTTTTTTTTTTGCGATAATCGCCCCGTGAGGCATTTCAATGCGGCGCAAAACTATTTTTCCATTTAGCTAATTTGTGGCCAACGATTTTGAATGCCCCTGCATTGTTATTGTTATTTATGCTATTGTTGTTGTTGTTGCTGTTGCCGCTCATTCATCATTAATTGGCAGCTAGCAGTACAATATTCACAAATATTTTATCGCAACATTTTTGCTGCTGTGCAAATTTAACTGACCTTGCGCAAATACAATTTTTCTGTTTTTTCTTTTTTTTGGGAATTTTCGGTATGTGCCAAAACAATTTGGCTTGGCGCTGACGTCAGCTGAGAGTTGCTGGCTTTAAGTTCACCTTAAGTTAACCTTGGACTCCACCAACCCACAAGGAGCAGAAGCAGCGAATCATTTATCCTTTTGCCGCCGACTTTATGAACAGCGAAAGCAACTCGGACAAAGGCAATGAATGACGAAATGAATGCAAGCCAAATGAGATGCAGGCAATGGCCAGGCTAAGAGGATACGGGATAATAAAGACGCGATTGTCGCGGCGTGTCATAAATTCAAAACATTTCAAATGCCAGAGACTGATTTGAAATACTCCTAATGCAGTCGAGCAGAAGAAAGGCAGCTCCTGCTGCTGCTGCTCCTGCTACACTTGCTGTTGGTGCTGCTGCTGCTGCCATAGCAGCATCTTATAAATAAATTCCAACAATTGAGACGTCGTCATTGTCATTGCCACGAGCAGAAGCGGCTGCTGTCGCTGCTACTCCTGCTGCTGCTGCTGTTGTTGCTGCTCTTGTTGCCGCTGCTGCTGCTACTCCTACTGCTGCTGCTGTTGTTGCTGCTGCTGTTGCTGCTGCTGCTGCTACTCCTGCTGTTGTTGCTGCTGCTGCTGCTGCTACTCCTGCTGCTGCTGTTGTTGCTGTGGTTGCTGCTGCTATTACTCCTGCTGCTGCTGTTGCTGCTGCAACTACTCCTGCTGCTGCTGCTTCTGCTACTAATGCTAATACTGCTACGACTGCTGCTACTACTCCTGCTGCTGCTACTAGTCCTGCTGCTGCTACTACTCCTGCTGTCACTGCTGCTGCTGCTGCTGCTACTCCTGCTACTACTACTCCTGCTGCTGCTGCTACTACTTCTGCTGCTGCTGCTCCTGACGCATCTCGCCTTCAAAGAGCTATTTTCCATCAATACTTAACTGACAGAACGAATCCTGCATTGCATTTTAAGAATCGTAACTGAATCGTTGGGCCTGGGCAATTATTGATGATTAGAGCTAAGCGGCTTAGTTCCATTGACCGATTGGCTGCCAGGGCAACGGCATTGCCAATTTGCGCACAATACGAAAACAACTTTAGGAAGACAATGAGAGAGCGAAATGCATTGCCGTTCGCCGATCATTGTTATGAAAGATTAGGAAACGTTGCAATATGACAGGACGCTTAGCAGGAGCATTGAGTAGATTCGTCCGCTCAAAATGCAATTGAATTTATTCAGCATACTTTCAATTAGGAAGCGAAGCTTTGAGCAAACTCTGATTGAGTTTCGTTTGAGCCTTTTGCAGCTACAATGGACTTGGACTCTATCGATGCACGGACTCCGTACGTTTGTCCATGGAAGCTGACATCTCGCAGTTTATAGAGCGTTTCAGCAGTTGCTGTGCCTTTTTTTCCTAGCTTGCTTTTTCTTCTGTTAACATTTCTTATCGCTGGCATCAGCACTTCAGCTACATATAAGCCGAAACGTGAAATTGCATTCTAGATGCAGTCGCTGCTGTTGCAATGGCTGCTGCAACGGCTGCTGTTGTCTGCAAACCCTTTTGCAAAACACATTTTCGTCCATTGTGCAAATGCAGAGGCCGCAGGCAGCGACAACTGAGCTGCCGCTGCCTCTACTCCTGCTGCTGCTGCTGCTGCTGCCGCTGCTGCAGTGAGGTGAATGCAGCTCCTTCTGAGAACAGCTGCCATAAAATTTTATTGCCCTGCTACCAGGTTTGGTTTTTAGCCTTTGTCTAATGCACGCGCTTTGTCCGCTAGTGTTTCGTGTTGGCTCGCTTCGGCAGCAGGCATTCAGCTTTTAGCCATTTGCCACCTTTCCGCTTCGTTGGCCACTTTTTGGGCCGCCTCATCTGCGCCCCAATTAAATTGACTAAACTTGACGATAAATTTTTGCCGCTCGTTGCTAATCGCATAAAAGTAAATTTGCGCATAAATCGACTTTTGAAATCTCGGCATTAGATGAAGCCAACGTGGGTTGGTGGCAGGGGGGGCTAGCGGTCAGTGTTGCTGCTGCTGCTGCTGCTGTTGTTGTTGCTGTCGCCGGCCGGCCGGGCGCGTGCTGCGGCTCGAGCGGGCAGGCAGGCCGGCGAGGGCACTCATGGGCATTTTGGCCATCACGATGTGGCCATTTTGTGCGCACAATCGGTACCGTTAGGTTCAGCAGCAACAGCAACAGCAACAACAACAACAACAGCAGCAACAACAATAAACAGTCCATTGCTTTCTGCTCGATTGCGCAGCAACTTTAATAAACTGCAAGCAGCAGTTGTTGCTGTTGCAAAATTGTAGTCTCTCTCTCTCGCTCTGCCTCTACCTCTCCCCATCTCTCTCTCTCTCTCTCTCACTCTCTGTTTGTGACTGCGTGGCCTCACGTAAATTGCGCCTGGCAGAGATCGGTCCAGGAGCTCGGGGATTGGCGCGTGATTGAAATGCGATATATTCGCGCCGATTTCGGGGCCAGCGCTTGAGCGCAGCCTGGGAAATGTGCTGTGATTTTCACTTGGTTGTATTCGTAATGTGTTGCCGTTGTAGCTGTAGCTGTTGTTGCTTTTGCTGTTGGCCAAGGCGATGAGCCCGCGCTGCTCTGGCAACTTTGGCCCGCTGTTTGCTGTTCGCTGTTTTGTTGGCAATTATTTGCCCACGCCGCTGGTTGCAATCAGCGGGCGACGCTGGCAGCAACGTTGCATGCAGCATGCCGCATGCCGCATGCAGCAGGCAGCAGGCAGCAACAAAAAGGTGTTGAAAGCAAAATTACATTGCAATGTGCAGCAGCAGCGGCAACTGTCGGAAATATGCGCGCTCCAGAGATGCGATATGATATGCCCAGTCAAGGCGGGCCGAGTTTGGGGACTGGCGGGGTGCCGAGGGGGAGAGGGGTGGCAT